AGTTCAAAAGAAGTTTTGCTAAAACGGGTTTTGCTCGACTAACTAAAAAATTAAAAATTTGAATCCGTTCATCCGGATACCGTTCGATTAGGGCTTGAAAAGTACTTACATTGCAAATGGAGGAGAGAAGCTGAAAATCATAGCTCTTTTGAGACCCACAAATCCCAATCAAATTGCTCTTCTTTTGAGACCCATAGCTCTCTTTTTGTTCATCAATCAAATGAGATAACGAACAAACCTTCACTTTTTCATCCATCAAACCCACAAAATAACCACAAAAAACCTTCAAATCTCTTCCAACAACCAATTCAATCTCCAAATAATCTCTCAAAAAGCTCTCAATCATGACTTGTGGGAAAACATTAGTGAACCCAATTCTTGTCCCTCCTCTTTTCAATGCCTCAAAGGCCTCCAATCCGACGTCGTTTAGGAAGAATTTAGGCAAAACAGAAGACCCAATTCTAAAGCTCTCTTTTTTAACCCCAAAAAATGATATCATCACCATAATCTTCAACCCCATTTCCTGGCCGACAAGTCGGACCAATGGGTACGACATTAAAAGAGCTGTCGCTCGGAGTAACCCACCAGCTTCAAAAGCCACCAACATGAAATAAGAGAAGAAAAATGGCGATGTGGGTTTTAGTAGAGCCTCCTCCACGTTAAAGATTAGAACTTTGTCGTTGCCGGCGACGGGGAGTTTCGCCGGAGATTGGTGGTTTTGGTACTTCCGATGAACGGCGGAAGTGGAAAGTCGGAGCTTTTTGGAGAAAATTTTGTGGAAGAAGAGAGAGAGAGCTTCGAGGAAGAAGAAGGAATTGGATAATGCCATGGTTTTCTGAATGAAAATGGACTGAGAATGGTGTATTTATAGGGCTCTTTACTTGTAATTGCCCTTGGTCGAGGGTTTATTTACGTTTCTGCCATTGTTGTTGCTGGTTCTTAACAAGACCCAGCCTTTTACTTGGTCTGTTTTTTCTATTACCAATTAATGTCACACGTAGTTTGACTATTTTTTAGTCAAACTTTTCGCTAAGAGTAAAAAATCGCCTATGGAAAAATCATACTAATTAAAAGAAAACCATTCATACTATGATATGGCTGTCCGGCAAGTAGGTCGATCATTTAGTGGTTCAGGATGTCTCTCTCGAGGTAACTGTATAAAGGAAATTGATCACGGACTATCGCTAAGTTTGACATTGATTCTTCCCGGGTCAATGCTCAAGTGGAAAATGGGGACAAAAAAAACTCTCGTGTTTTGACTCGAATGGATCAAATCATAACCTACGTCTTCTACTAGTGTACGGCTATGGAGAGACTAAACTCTATTTCAAAGATTGGACTATGTTCCGCTGCAATTAATAATATTAACCTTGTAACGATCCAAGCCCAGATGGCAGATATTGTCCACTTTGACTCGTTACGTATCGCCCTCATAGTTTTTCACATACTTATAAAGAAATGTTTGGTTTCCTTACTATTTTGAGCCTAAAAGTTTTCACCAATGATGTAGAAATCTCACAGACCCTTGTTATTACTGCAACAGGCCTTCGCCCATGGTGGAAAATTCTCCACTAGTGCCGACCCCATTTTAGAATCGTGGAATACTCTCCCAGAGCGGGAAGATGTTGACTTTCTACCACCCAAAGGTCATATAGATCGGAACCCTCTCCCTCGTTCTCAGTTAATCAACAACTGGGGGCGGCTCAAGAGGGGTTGCTTTTACTGTTCACGACTCCGATCTTCTTTAATAGGGCATTGAGGCTTGACTAAGAATCTCGAAAGACGTTTCACAAAGTGAAGAAATCTCTATTCAAATTCTTTAGATCTACGTGTTGTTAGTCATGCCTAAATGGATGTAAGAAGAAACGGGTCACATTTGGTATTCTTCCGATCTCTAAATCTAAACCGTAGACCCTAACCCAAAGTTTTGAAATTTAAATTGAGGTTAAGAAATAAAAGAGGTAGGGTAGTTGCAATCAATGTTAATAAATTTGACTACGTAGCAGTGGGACATCCCAGAGGGACATATGGATACCATAAGAGCTTAGAAAAGCTGCCGCTGACTATTTCTTCAATGGAAGCATATTGCTAGGAAAGTACCGGTGACGTTTCGATTTAGCTACCAAAGAGGTCAAAAAAAAACAAGCCGTTTCAACTCCGTTCATTAATATCAATCGGTTCGGTTTCATGCACTTTCAAAGTTTGTCGACTTTGGTCAATTTCGATTGATGTTTGCAATAAGAAGATTCCTTGGTTGTGTTTCAAATTTTGATAAATTGATATAATGGGTCGATGTTAATTTTCAACTTTATAGACATACACGAGAGGGGTTTGAGCTTAAACTTTTTTACTCCTATTATTTACTTTTAGGTCAAACTACGGTAATCTTTGAAATTTCTGCGGAGCATTAAAAAGTATATAATAGATTTATAAATTTTTTTATTTTATGTTTTTAATAGATTTATAATATTAAATTCTCCTCGACATATCACGTCCCACTTCATCTCAATTCATCTATATAAAAGGGTATTGAATCGATTCATTATACTATTTAAAATCGATAAAGATATCGTTTTTAAAAATAGATATTTGAATTGATTTGTGAAATATTTGTTTATTAAATTAAACGACGATTGATATCCATATTATGAAGAAAAGAAAAGATAGAGTGATTATTGTCTCAAACTGTGTACCCATGTTCATGTATATTCATGTATAGTCATGTATATTGAGCTGTGAATATATCAAAATTATTAGATATCAAATCTTATATTTTCTAGATGAGGGTTGATATCAATTAATAAGGAACTATAAATTTGTATACACTTATTTAAGCATCATGCACTATATACATATATATATATACATGTATATACATATATATGTAATGCATCGGTTTAATTTTCTAATTTCTACGTAGCATAATTTAAACTAATTAAAAAATTAAAAGCGAAAACGTCTTTAAAAATGAAAACACATATATTTCAGGTTCCTTCGTACCTTTTCGTTCCCTTGCCATATTAACTTGCTGCTAAACTAAAAAAGACAATTTTTTTTTTTTTTTTTTTTT